GCAGTGGCGTTTGCCAGGCTTGATGCTTTGCCAGTAATAAGCCCAGTAAAACCACAGACTGACCTTCTCCAGACCCATGTTGTCCAGGTGTAGTTTCTCCATGTAGCGCCCAAAGCTCTGGAAGGCGTTGTCGGGGATAGTCTTCATGGGGTTCTTCCCCAGCGTGAGCTCCTCCACCACCCGCAGTTTGCTCATTGCCACGCTGGGATAAGTGGACATCTTGTTGCCGTCCAGGTGAAGTATGGCGAGGTTCTCTACGTCGTCCAGAGAGCTCGCATGCAGCGTCGTCAGCTCGTTGTTGCTAATGTGCAGCCAGCGCAGGTCTTTGGCGCCCGAGAAGGTCCCCTGACGCAGCTCCCGCAGCTTGTTGTCGCTGAGCTGCAGAACAAAGAGGTTGATCATTGGGGAGAAGATGCCCTTTGGCAGGTCGCTGATCTGGTTCCCGTCTAGGTGGAGGTAGGTGAGCTCGGTGAGATCCTCAAAGGCGCCGGGCTTGATGGTGCCGATGTCATTGTTGGACAGGTAGAGGTAGACGAGCTTGTTCAGCCCCTTGAAGGCCTGGGATCCGATCTCTCGGAGGTGGCAGTGTTGCATGTGCAGAGAGATGAGTCCTTTGCTTTCGCTGAAGGCTCCCGTGGGTATGCTGCCCAGGTTGTTCCTCTGCAGGTTCAGCAAACGGGTGGCCTCCGACACCCGAGGGATCTTCTTCAGCCCCACGTTGTCACAGATGACGTGCTGAAGGTCACCGTGGCAGTGGCACGGGCTCGGGCACTGGGCCGGGGCGCCCCGCGCTACGATGCCCAGCATCAGGAGGCAGGTCCACAGCAACAACCAGCTCACACAGCGCATCCTGAAAAGCTTGTAAATGTAGCTCGGGTCAGTTAGAAAAATCCTGCAAAAGTGTCTGCAGAGAAATGTGAAGAGGAAAGGCGAACGCTTGATCCTGTTTGTTTGTGCTGAGAAACAGACGGACAGAGGAGGAGAGAGGAGGTGGGCAGAGCTGAGAGACACTTTGAGAGGAGGATGGACAGAGCACACAGCACTATTTATAACATTTACTTGAGGAAAAATACTGAGGAGGGCCTGCCAGGGTGTTGGAGTGAGAGATCTGCAGGAGGAAGTCAACTGTCTGAGAGTTTAACCCTAAATGAGCAGAAAGGTGAAGCTCAACTAGTCTTTTTCTTTGCAGCTGGCTTCGTTTTTGCAGGACTTGCAATGAGCTTGCTGCAGGATGCACACCTTCAGACAGTTGATAAGAGTTTGTAATGTTTGATTAACTTCCAGGTGCATGTTAGACAACGTGGCACGAGGTCAGCTTGGCTCTGTGCTCGCTCCCAGACATCGCTATTGTTTTTTCAGTCTGCGGTGGCAGGAAAAGGAGCCACTCCTGTGTAGCTGTTTTATAACCTATAATAGTCTCCAGATGGCTTTTAAGTCCTATTGCAAAAAAATATACTTCCATCATCACAGCAGTGAAAGTTTTAGATGCCACTTTACATTCCTGTGTGCATTCCTTTGTTTTGTGGTATCATGCAGTGGTATTTTTCCAGACCTCTGTGCAAATGATGGAGTGGCTTAACTTTTCTTCTTTTTTTTTTTAATGAATATGATTGGCTCAGGTTAGTGGATGGTTTGGCTTCAGGTGCGTGCGTTTATGAGATGAATGAATCCACCCAGGATAAACGGAATGTAGAGTTTACTTAACAAATCTAACATTTTATTGGCGATATTGTTTCCTCTGTGACTTTCCAGGTGAACGTTCTCACTGTAGCTCCTGTAGATTTCCCTAAAAGTTTTTCTAGTGCACCTCCCGCTTCTTATAAACGTAATAAAGAAAGTTAAATACATGATATATACCATAAACCAAATTTTAGAGGGTAACATGGTCAGAAATGGATGTAGTGCATGGCAGTAATTGAGTGAATATAAAAAGAGCTAAGAGCTCACATGTGTAGGTAAAGTAGAAAAATGACTCCATTAGTTTGACTTTATTTTTCTGCCATGATGGATATTTTATTTTGAAATGTTGAATAACGAAGTACATTAGCTGTGTAACATGCAATAGAAAATAAAACACTGACTATGGTAAGAATTTATTACTGCTAAATTATTTTTATTCATTCTTTTTTAAGTAATAACATCAGATATTTTCCATTTCCAACTTTAAGCCTTTTTCTCTTTTTATATAGCACTGAGAACTGCTTTGTTTTAGATTAGTGTGAGTTTTCTTGCTTTATTATTTTAGTTTGTATATCTTTATGGTTTAACTGTGGTGGTGTCTAGTTTTATTTTTCCTTAACATTCATTACAAACTGTTCTCTTTTTGTGTGGTTCATTCATATACAGTATGATACTATGATGCAGTCATGCGTGTCGTCATAGTATCATAGCATTATGTGATTGGTCAGATCAGCTGTGTTGGTCCACTGTGTGCTGCCAAAAACCCCTCTGAGCCACTGGGACCTCTGGAGGCGCCCCCTAGTGTCTGACACTGGCACTTTCTTTGTTTATCTACAGGATGAATCAGAACAATTTGGTTTTTATTGTGGGGAGTTTTGGCTTGTGTTTGTTCGCGTTTTGTTTTTTGTTTTTTGTTTTTTTAAGTATTATTTGGACTTCACTGTGTTTCAGTCCCACCTGCTCGTATCATTGTTTGTTTGACAGATTGGATATGGCACCACGGAGAACAGCCCCGTGACGTTCCTCGCCTCCCCACTGGACAACGTGGAGAGAAAGACTGAGACTGTTGGCTACATTACAGATCACTTGGAGGTAATTTGGCATGCTTCTCAATATAAATACTTAAATGCATTAAAATAAGATTTATTTTGAGTGCAAAAACTCATCCAAACAAAACAATTTGGGGAGGGCTGAACACTTGAATAAAAATCAGCAGGGAAGAAAACTTTTAATGTGACAAACAGTTATCGGTGAGGGTGAATATAGAGCAAAAAAACAAAGTAATGGTTTCAAAGAAAGCTTGTACTAGCCTGAGTGAATCAAAACTTCACTTCTTTAGCTCTGTGCAATACACCAAAAAATGTTTGGTGAATAAAAGTATGAATCATGAGTCACCTGCTCCACAGGCTAAAATAGTGGACCCTACAACCGGGATGATCGTACCCGTGGGTGCCTCAGGGGAGATTATGATCAGAGGATACTGTGTGATGCTGGAATACTGGAACGACAATGCAAAAACAGACGAGTGCATCACTAAAGACCGATGGTACAAAACTGGGTAAGTTTAACACTGTTGATAGTATTTTATTACAGCGATTAGAGTATTCTGTTACAGGTACTGAACTGTGGTGGTTTGAATCATATCTTTCTGATAGACTCCAGTTTGTTCATGTAAATGGAGAGTCCTCTTCACACACTGAGGTTAATTATGGAGTTCCACAGGGTTCAGTGCTAGGACCAATTCTGTTTACATTACACATGCTTCCCTCACCAGTATCATTAGAAGGCATAGCTTACATATGATGGCTATGCAGATGACACCCAACGTTATCTGTCCATGAAGCCAGATAACACACACCAATTAGTTAAACTGCAGGAATGTCTTAAAGATATAAAGACCTGGATGGCCGCTAACTTTCTGCTTCTAAATTCAGTAAAACTGAAGTTACTTTACTCGGCCCTGAAAATCTTAGGGTATCTAACCAAATGCTTGCTCTGGATGGGATTACCTCGTCCTCCACTAACACTGTGAGGAACCTTGGAGTTGTTTTTGACCAGGACATGTCCGTCAATTTCTTATATTAAAGTTTTAGCCTTTTTTTTCCTTTCCATTGTCACAGAGCGCTTGATCATAGTCTGATTGTTGGGGTATTCTCTGTATCATTGTAGACCTCATAATATAAAGCACCTTGAAGTGTTTCTCTGTGACAAATTTGAAATAAAAATAAAAATAAATCTTTAGTTAATCATCACTACTTTACAGCTATTAGTATTGTCTGCATTTTCAGGCAGATAGGCTTTAAAAATGACTTCTGATTCTGTTAAAAGGCTGATTTTTCTCCAATTTAACTGTTTCTTTGTCCTCTTGGCCAGCGACATCGGCAGCATGGATGCATACGGCTACTGCAAGATAGACGGCAGGATTAAAGACATGATCATCAGGGGAGGAGAGAACATTTACCCGGCAGAGATCGAGCAGTTTCTGCACAGACACCCCAAAGTTAAAGAGGCACAGGTGAGCTCAAACAGCAAGGGCTGAGCAGTAAACCTAGAGGGTGTTATAGGAAAAAAACAATGGAGACTAACTGTACTCAATTATTTACTAGAAATTCTGTCGGTGAACTTCAGAAGCGCACAGAGTAAGTTTTATTTTAACATCAGACTGGCGTTCACTAAGATTGCTACAGCAGAAATTAATTTTACTGAACATTGCTGCTTCCAACTTCAGAACAAGTCTTGTTAAAACTGTGTTAAGAGTGTGGCTTGATATTGTGTGTCATCAGTCTGAATTGCTTAACTTGTATTAACGCCTATTGTGCATTACTTACAAGTCCAAAAGGCAGGGTGACCCCTCCAACACACCACTCCCCCCATCGATGTGGTTAGGTGCATAATTGTTGGAAAGACACAAGTTCAGTCTCTGTACACCACCTCAGTGGATTTTAATCCAGCGGTCAACAATGCACTTTCACTTTTTTAATTCGGTGGGGAGTTGAGATGAAATTTTGCATTCCAGTTTCAGTCAAAAGCCAACAAGAATGAGAGCACACATGTGATTTAGATAAAAACGAGAAATGGAAAACTTATTTACAGTGTCGTTTAGTATAAATAGAAATGATAACAAGCTTCTGTCCAACTTGCGTTTGGCAGCCGTTCACTGTTCACTTCAGTCACACTTTGATTTAAAACCCACTGCGGCGGTGCAGAGATGACAAATGCATCAGCTGTAACAACGTAAAATAAAATGTTATAACGAACACGTTTAAAGTCGCACAAAAACCATAGAGTCAGTGGAATTAGGGCTGGGCGATATGACCCAAAATTCATATCTTGATATTTTTTAGCTGGGTGGCGATATAAGATATATATCTTTATATTTTCTTAAAGCCATAAGTTAAGAACAAAAAGAGAGTTCTTAGTTAAAGCTGTGTCCCAGATGTCACACAGGCATTTTTATTTACATACAGCATAGATTTACATGAAGAAATTACTCAAAAATAAATTATCAGCATTTATTAAATAATCATGCTCCATAAATATAAGAAAACAATGTTGTTTTTGTGCATAACAAAAAGCTCATAATTGTGCAGTCAAAATGTAAACTAACAGACTGAGCATAATAACAAAGACAGATTTCCCAGCTGCTCTGTTCCCAACTTCTACTGCGTGACTAACAGCCTTGAGTTTGAAATCCTCTTTATGGCCCTTATACACACACAATACGGTAATATTACGTTGAAGCACAGTACGTATCACTCCGCGAGGCTCCAGACTACGGTAGCCGTAATGCTCCGACAATCCATCTAGCGCTGCAGCTCCGTAGCTTAGCAAAGAGCGCCGTGTACCACCTAAAATCGGTTCGCGGTCAGTAAGCACAACCAGAATTCATACATAAGGCGCACTGTCAACTTTTGAGAAAATGAAAGGATTTTAGGCCGTGCAGCCCTTGTGGGCTGCATGTCGTTAGCGTGGTTAGCACGCTAGCGCGGTTAGCTCGCTAACACGTTGACGCTGTCCAGCCCCACAACTCGCTAATGGAGATTTGCCGTGTCCATCTTGTCGCTGCCTGCAAGTGAAGCTATGGGGGAGGAGGGGGAGTTGTGTTCAGTGAAGGAGGGGCGAGGCCGAGTAACGTTGCGTAGAGACAAAAGTGGACGAAAGAGAGGCAAACTTGTGGCTCCACAAGTATAATTATAACGTAACATAGACTATATCGATATAAAGGATATTGTCACATCTTATATCTCGTATGAAAATATATCGATATTTTTTAAAAACTCGATATATCGCCCAGCCCTAAGTGGAATGTGTTGGTTCACAACATGCAAAGTGGCCTCCAGACAGGTTTTCAGTTAGGACACCCCCAAGAACATTTTAAGAAAATGTTAACATTTAAAATATTTGGGTTTTTTTAATTATATTAACCCCTGAAAGAGTGTCTTGACTTGGCTTAATCTTTTGGCCCTTCATGTGATGTCTAATCCTCTGTATTTGTCTTAGTTTTAACCTCCAAAGTTCTGTTAAGATATTTAAGATTTTGTACTGCTGACTGTTTGCTGTGTGATTCTAAATGTTCCTCGTTTCCTGCGATCTTTCAGGTGGTGGGAGTTAAAGATGAGCGTATGGGTGAGGAGATCTGTGCCTGCATCAAACTGGTGGACGGAGCAGACTGCACTGCAGAAGAAATCAAAGCTTACTGCAAGGGACAGGTGGGGCACAGTTCCCGTCTCATATTTCATAATGAGCTGGAATTGTGTTGCACCATAATGAGCTCTATTCATTTGCTCCTTTCAGATCTCCCACTTCAAGATTCCTCGTTACATACTTTTTGTAACCAGCTACCCACTCACGATCACTGGAAAGGTAATTTCCTCAGTCCTGGCTCCTCTACCGAGCTCATAAAAAGCAGGAATTTCTTCCAGGATTCTTACAAATGACATAAATTAATCAGCAGGTTTCATAAAATGTCATTCATCCTGAGTGAAAAACATCTGTATTTAGCAGCTGCTGTAACAGTCTGCAATAATTTAAGGGAAGGAGAAATCCAGGATGAAAACACAAACTCCCCTCTGGTTCTTGTGTTTCTCTCGTGGGATCCTATTTAATATCATTTACTGTAGACTTGGCCCTGTGTTTGAACAGGCCTGGCCTGAATGCTCTCAGACAGGAGGGACGGGGAGCTATTAGCTCGTCTGCACGCACACTATGGCCTGTTAGATGAATCCCAGAGGGGTGGCAGGCCGTACTCGACCTGGACCATCAGATCAGATAAAACCAAAACCTCGATTTGAGATTCCTTCTAAACGGATCAAGTACGCTATGATAAAACTTTCAGAAAAATGCAAAAAATGTTCTGCGTTCATGTTATTATTGTAACAAGCATTACTCATTTGTCTGCTCAGATCAGCGGGTGATTGTTTGTGGCATTCAAACACATGTGGGAAGTTGCAGAATGTTCTCTGATGGACAGAATATGCGACATCAATGCAACGTTGATTGAATGGTGTTTCTCTTGTCGTTTGTTTAATTTTAAATTTTATTTATCGTGGAATATTTTAGTTGAGCTCTAAAAATGAACGTCACTCAGATAAATATGAAAGTTACTGGTGCATTTTTGGTTTGCTTGGAGATTTCTGTGTGAAAAGAAAAGAAGCCAAACCACAGGAAAATGCTAAGAGTTCACAAACTTTGGTAAATCTGACCACAAGGGTCTCTTCACGTCAGTAGTTTGTATATTCTGCTCTGATGTAGCTAATGCATTGTGTCGGTTTAAACTTATTTTTGCCATTTAAGAAAAAAAATACTGTTTGTATTTACGTAGAGAGCAGAGTGACAAGTTGCATGTAAGAGGCTGATCCTTGCATGTGTGTTTCTGGGAGTTCCTGTCTTGAGGCATAAAATATGGGGGATAATTAAATCAAGTGTGCACACTGATTTACGTTTACCACACGCTATTTAGCACTAATTCTGCCAACATTTAACAAAGAAAGAGCATGTCTTATTTTTTTATTTTTTATTTTTATTTTTTATTTTTTGTATTTTTAGAAAACGGCACAACATCTGTAAATCACCCGTAAAACTAACCACACCCATTAGCGCTATTTGGGGTTTGCATTCACATGTTGTTTTGTCCAATTTAGTAAAACTGGCACTTGTAATCCGAGCTGACGCACCAAAACTTCACTATCTAGTTGTTGGATGAGTTGTTACGAGGTGGGAATTTATCCATAGAGGTCAGACCAGACTTGTAAACATGTTTATTTATGCTGTAAAATTATATAATTTAACATGGAAGTCTGTGAGGACTGACTCACTTTTGGAGGCAGCCTTAAGTGGTTATTAGAGGAAGTAATCGAATTAGATTCACTTGTAGTTTTGGCAATTTTCACAGAGATGCATTTGACATCTGAGTGCTCAAAGCTGTTATGAAAGACTCTTAGATTGATTTAAAATCATTATTTATTGTATTGACCCCAGTTAGTGACAGATTTTAATTTGCGTTCTGATTTCTTACGAATTAAATGGAATCATCAGCATACAATAAAACACTCGACCCCATTTACTAATAGATTTTTATATATTCATGTACTTCGACACTGCAGATTTGTCCATTTAGTGCTCCTGCAAAAAGTTGTTGTTGATTCGTGTTATTCTTCTTTTTGTCTTTCAGATCCAAAAGAACAAACTGAGTGAACAGGTGGAGAAGCAACTGAAGAAGTGAAAATGAAAAGCTACAAACTGTACAGAGGGAATTTAATTAATACGTGTGCGTGATTCCGATACCAAAGATACAAATTGTGGTTGTCAGAACTGGCCAACAGAAATCGCCTCAAGATCTTAAAACATCTGAAGAGGCAACCTGAGCATTCTGTGGAAATTCAGCTAAAATGCCACATGTTACAGGAAAATATACAGAGCCGAGTGGTTACAGGGACAATGTAACCCCCCCCCCCCCAAAATACAGTATCCTGTACCTGCTGCAGAAAATAGTCCCACATAGAAACACTATTTACTTTTAAGGGCCCTTTTTAAGTGCTTTTGTCTGTATAGGCAGGACAAAGGTTGTAAGGTTTTTAAAATGTTTTTTAATGATTTTTTTTATGCTGTTGAGGCACACGCTAATTTTTATTTTGCAAAAAATTTATAAAAACAAAAATCTTCATTATATGAACTTGAAATAAACCTTTTTACAAATTATTAAAACCAGGCATGCAGGTTCCTCTTGTTACGGGAAGAATGAAAGTGTTTTTTTATTGTCCTCGATGGCAGGTGCAGGCCTCTTAAGCCTGCCATTCAGAAATATGCACACATGTTCCACTTTAAAAAAAAAAAAGAGCTTTAAAGTGAGTGAGCATTGTTCAGAGCTGTAAAGAATTTCCTGACCAGGCTACATGTGCAGTTCACCTGACGCTGGGCTGCTGGATCGGATGTCGTCTCCTGTCTAGACCTGAAGGACTCGGCCCAGAAATAGCCCTTAAGAGCCCAAATGAAAACAAACTGTGCTCCTGGCTCTTAAGAGAGAACCTCAAGGTTTATTTAGCATTTTTTATTTAACATATTTTGGGTTTGGATTAAATGTTTCAGGACATGGTATTCCTACCATGCGCCAAGTACAGGAGGTGGTTTTAACAGGGAAAGGCAAAGGAATGCACATTTCAAGGAGGAAAAATGGGATTTGAGACAAAGAGTGAGTTTGTTCTCCTTTTAGACTCCAGACTTTTGTTTTCAAATTGTCACCATGCATTCCTTTGACTGGGAGGTTATTACAGGTGATACTAATAACCAAACTGTTCTCCCAAGAGGTGTATGCATTGGTGGAGCAATGCATACAAAAGTATCTTGGACTCCCTCATGTGGCAGGAAAAAGCACACAAAAAGGCCAAAAATTTGTTGTTAGCAAATTTATTTTGGATGAGGAAAAACATCACTTGCGTTCTTGTGGCATTGAGTTAGGTTTGTCTTTTTCCTGCTTCAAAATGACAACGCCTCCATAAAGAAATGCTTGTCCCCACTTTGGTGTGGAAGAACTGCACCGATCTCTGAACCTCAACCACATCCAGAACCTCTGGAGGAGTCGGAGCAGGTTCAACATCTGGGGCCTGATGTATAAATACGTACACAAAGCCATGCTTGGATTTTTTTTCCCTCTACACATAATGTGATATTTAGAGAGGAACAATTTGCAAACCACATGCAACCTTCAGGCCATGTCTACGTGGTTGTTTCAAACCTGAAAAATATTTTAGTGGGGAAGGTTGTGTTGGCTCAGAGAACATATCGTGGTGCACATTTATGCACTAAATCCAGAAAGCTGATCTGGTGACTTATCTCTTCCAGTCAATGACTGTTAGATTAGAAAAATTCAAGCCATTATTATACAAAGTCAGGCAATTTTAGACTGAGAAGCCAATTTAATCCTCCTCCCTTGTTATTTCAAGTAGATGACAGATTTAGAATCAATCTGAAGTGGTGTACTTGTGTTTTGGTGGACCTAACTGTATATCAATGATGCATCATCTTGGTATTTTCATCGCCTTCCAGGAGATAAAACACAAGATCCGAACATAAGCCAGTAAGAGACAAATACTCATGAGATACTCTTTGATGTCACATGTTAAGCAAAGAAATAACATGTTATTAGTTAAGTCTATTCTTGGTTTAGTATACAAGACAATGGTTAAGAGGGACAATAGCATTTCAAGTCGCAAAGGTGGAGTTTTATGGATTTCTGGGTGTATCCTCCTAAAGACTTGAAAGAATATGTGATGAGTGCAGTGATGTCAGACTTTTGATTGAAAACGTATGATATGATGTATGTGCATTTCAACAAAACTTAGGTTGAGTGTTTAGAATAAAAAGTTAGAGAGACGAGGCTCAGTTGGTTTGGACATGTGCAGAAAAGGGAGCCTGAGCTGCCAGGCGGGAGCGGGAAAAAAAAAGAAAATCTGGGAGATTTGTGGATGTAGTGAAGGATGAGATGCAGAGGGTTGGTGTGACAAAAGACGATGTTGGGATAGGGTGAGATGGAGGCAGATGACCCCCCAGAGGGAGAAGTGGGAAGAAGAAGAATTTCCTGATCTTACTGACCACTGACAGCGCTTCAGACATGAAGTCAAATTCAACCACACGCTTTCATTTTAATCCAAATTTACTTAAATAGCACAAAATCACAACAATAGTCACCTCAAGACATTTAATAATGTAAGACCCTACAGTAATGCAGATAAAACCCTAACAATCAAACTGCTGCATCTGACCAAACACTTGGTGACAGCAGGAAGAAAGAACTCCCTTTTAAGAGAAAGAAACCTGAAGAAACCAGGCTCACAGAGGGGCACCCATCATGTGACTGCTGTTTTGGTATTTTAAGGTATCTTCTTGATGCCTTAAAGACCTCAAACTGGGAGTAAACTTTTCATAATGAAAGGTTTACTCACAGTTAATGAGAGAATTACTTTATTAATTCCAAAAAAGCAGCATAATTTTTGTCAAGTGAATCCATTACTTCTTACCAGCGGATGTCCAATATCTTTTTTTTTTTTTTTTTTAAACAACATTTCAAATTTTGGCTCCAGCGGGTGAAACATCTGTGACGCTCTCACAGAGAGTGAATCACAGAGAGAGCAAACTTATAAAAAGATAAAGGTCTGTGCTGTCTTTAGTCTTTGGGCAGCGGGATGCCGACTGCCGTCTGCTGCCCCTCCATCTGCTGCTGCGCCTGCGCCACCTGCTCTTCGCTGCAGGAGTCCTGCAGAAACACAGTAGCCAGGTTGCGCAGACGCGGGCTCTCGGAGAGGGAGAAGCGCAGCATGCACTGCAGGATGGCGGGATCGGTGATCTGAGAGCGTGACGTGGGTGTTAGGAGGTTCGTGAGGGTGGTGATGGCTGACAGGACAGTCTCTTCCCTCTGGCTCGACAAGCAGTTTGTGACTAAGCGGATGCCGTCGCTCTGCAGGACGACATCTCTGCACTCAGGGTCCATGCTGAGGTTACAGAGCCCCCCTGAGATCACGAGAGACAAAATCAGAGATGAAGGCTTGATAGTTGCTGCAGACAATGAAGGAGATGTCACTGTGACACCCACCCATCCCAAACTCCACAAAGTTCTCATTCTCCTCAGTCAGCATGTCCAAGAAGAGGTCCGTCACCTGCAGCTCCCTCAGATACTCCACGTTCTTTGGATCGTATGCAAAATTGGCCAAATTAGCCAAAACTTGTTCCTTTGCCTCTGAGGAGGAAAAACAAAGCTTTTAATCACATAAAATGAGAACTATGGAGTGCCAAAATTAAATAGGCAAATGTTTAGTTAAAAGTCTAATTAATTCATTCAAATATATCAATTTAATAAATGTGTATTTAATAATTTCAAATTTTGAATAATTATTTGATGACGTACGTCTCCAAAGAGGAGCACCTAGGCTTTCTGTAGGCACCTATTGCTTATGTTTTTGTTCTATTTACTTTATTTTATGATTCATATTATTGTCTTGTGGATCTTGAGTTGGAGCAGAAAGGCAAGATTGGAAAAAAGATAACAGAAGAAAGCAGAATAGTGAATTTAAAGTTGAATCCAAACACAGCTGCTCCCACCGTCGCTGTCGGTGTCCTGAAACTCGGTGACCAGAGTTTGTAAATACTCAAAGCGGTCAGAGCCTCCGGACGAGCCGCTCCTCCACATGATCCACCACCAGCTCCGCTCTCCGCTTTATTCTTTTCAGTTCGTTCCCGGCTCGGTCTGACCATGAAATCCCTCCGTGTAGCTGCGTGGATGAGACGAAGGTTCCGTTTAATCGATTTTTGTTTTAAAATCAGTTTCGATCTGCTAGCATTCGGTCAAGCTGCGCTTACGCAGAATCAAATCTAATTTACATTTTTCATACGTAGTTAAAGGTCTTCTATCATAGCTTTTTGTTAATGTGGCCCTAGTACTCCCTCATACAACATGACACAAAATAGAAATACTGTCAAGCGGAAGCTAGGGTCACGTGATACCGGAAGTTCCTAATAACCGTGGGACACGAAGGGGGTGTGTACAGCACCTCAGCCAACTGTAGGGGAAGGTCAGTGTTTAAAGTTCAAAATAAATCCACGAAAATGACGCAGCACAAACTGTCAGCCGGGAAACGGCTCGCCAAACCGATCCTGTTCGGGACGATCATCGTTGGACTCGCTGCTGCTTTCATTAACAGGTAACGTTAAAGCGTGTTTACAGCTCAGCCACCTGTACGTAACAGACGTGATGTACGTGACATGTGCACATGCAAGTGTTTACTGCACACCTTATTAGTAAACATGCAGCTCCGAAAGAGCCGATCAGAAGTGAAGATTATAAAAGCAGCACGACTTCGCTGTTAAAAGGTAGTACAGGGGAAGCAGTACGACTGCGTGTTAGGCCCATTCTGCAGTCCTTTGGAAGTTAAAACGAAAAAGCTCAGGATTTTAGAAATTCGGCGGACTTACGAGAAAAATGGATAATTTACTAAAAAAAAAGCAAATTTTTGATGAAAGAAATGGGGAAATTTACATGGAGAAAGCATTCAAAGTTAGGAGAAAAAAATGCCGAATTAATGAAAAATAAACGGCTAGTTTATTGTTTTAAAATGGCAAACTTATCAGGAAAAAAAATCAGCAAATTTACCACAAAGAATGGAACAATAATGAGAAACAAGGACAAACTTACTTGAAAAAAGGAGCAAATTTATAAGGCAGTAACATGCTATACATGCATGTCAGATTTCTGAGGTAGCAATGAGCAAAGTTCAGACGTATTAAATTACAAAATCGAAAAAGGTAAGCTTATTAGAAAAAAATAGGACATTTTAAAGAAGAAAATGAACATATTTCAAAGAAATTAGCAAAGGATAAATTTAAATTTAGATCATTATGTTTCCAAGAAAAAATGAGCAAAGTTTCAAGATAATAAATACCGAAATCTTAAAAAAAAAAAAAAGACACATTCCCAAGGGGGAAACAAAGAAAAGAATACATTTCAGAGAGTCTGGCAGAGCATTTGCGAGCGAGGAAACTCAGTATGTGGTGATGTCCATGGGCTCCCTGACTGACAAATAAATTTCTAGTTCCCGTTTCCTAGCTATGAAGATTTGCTTCAAGCTTTTTACGAGGTCTCATTAAGTAAAATTATTGTAAGAAATGCCGACATCGCCACGAGTAAGGTGTAACAGGACCTGGAGCTGCTCTGTCCC